ATTGCTTCACAACCTACGAGCAGATAGATGGTGGTAATGTGGTCATCGCAAATGGAGCTGTCTGCAAGGTTGTTGGAATCGGGTCCATAAAGGTTCGGACACATGATTGTTCGTTCTGTACTGTGAATGATGTCAGGCATGTTCCACGAATGACAAATAACCTGATCTCCTTGAGTCTACTCGACAACAAGGGTTTCAGTTTCAAAGGAAAAGGTGGAGTTGTGTATGTCTGCAAAGGTTCAAGGAAGGTGCCGAAGGGCGTGAAGCGTGGGACCTTGTATGCATTACAAGGGTCTGTGTTGCCTGGTTCTGCTGCAGTTGCATCGTCTCAGGTTCATCAGGAAGATATGACCACTCTCTGGCACATGAGACTGGGGCATATGAGTGAACGGGGGATGCAAGTTTTGTCAAAGAGAGATCTTCTTTGCGGGCACAAGGTGCCGAATTTGGAATTCTGCGAGCATTGTGTGTTTAGGAAGCTACATCGCAGCAAGTTTCCCAAGAAGGGTATCCACCGGACGAAGGGGATACTAGATTACCTCCACTTCGACTGTTGGGGTCCTTCATGAGTTGAATCCATTGGAGGCAGCAGGTATTTTCTTTATATTATTGATGATTATTCAAGATTTACTTGGATTTTCATGATGAAGCAGAAAAAGTGAGGCTTTCACGAAGTTCAAGCAGTGGAAGACATTGGTGGAGAATCAGACTGGGAAGAAGATCAAGAAGCTACGAACGGACAATGGTCTGGAGTTCTGTAATTCTGAGTTCAACGAATTCTGCAAGGATGAAGGGATTGCCCGTCATCGGACTGTGAGAGATACACCCCAGCAGAATTGCGTTGCAGAAAGGATGAACCAGACGTTGTTGGAGAGAGCACGGTGCATGCTCTCTAATGCTGGACTAGAGAGAAGATTCTAGCAGAAGCAGTGAACATGGCGTGCTTCCTGATAAACCGTGGGCCTCACACAGGTATTGAGTTGAAGACTCCTTATGAGGTGTGGTATGGTAGGCATGCTGATTACTCTTCACTGAAAGTTTTTGGGTGTCCTGTTTATTATCATGTGGATGAGGGTAAACTGAACCCAAGGGCAAAGAAGGGTGTATTTGTGGGTTACGGAGATGGAGTTAAGGGATTTTGAGTCTGGTCACCTTTTGAGCATCGAGTTATACTCAGTCGAAATGTGATATTTGATGAGAAGTCTATGTTTAACCCCATGTTGAAGGTTATTGTTGTTGAAGGTAGCAGGAATGTTGATAAGCAGGTGGAGCTGCAAACTCTCAATGAGAGTGAGTTTGAGCACCAAGGTGGAGAAGATCAACATGAGGATGTTTCTACAGAGCCAGAAACTTCAAAGTCCAATGCAGGAGCTCAACAGTCTATAGCTTCCGGTAGACCAAAGAGAGCGACTGCAGGAGTACCTCCAGAGAGGTATGGTTTCGAGGACATGGTGGCGTATTCATTTCAGGTTGCTGAAGAAGTGGATGCAGGTGAGCCACAGTCCTATAGAGAAGCCGTTTCGGATGACGAAGCTGATCAGTGGCTTGCCGCAATGGGAGATGAGATGGAATCCCATGACAGGAATCAGACTTGGGAGCTAATCAAACGACCACAGGGAAGGAAGATTGTTACAAACAAGTGGATCTACAAGAAGAAGGAAGGAATCACTTCTAAAGAGGGCATGAAATTTAAAGCTCGGGTGGTTGCACGAGGCTTTCCGCAGAGGGAAGGAGTTGACTACAATGAGATTTTCTCACCAGTGGTCAGACATACTTCGATCAGAGTGCTACTAGCAATAGTGGCACATTATGACTTGGAGCTCGAGCAGCTAGACGTGAAGACAGCTTTCCTACATGGAGAGTTGGAGGAAGAAATTTACATGACTCAGCCAGAAGGATTCGAGGTTCTGGGAAAAGAAGACTATGTTTGTAAGCTGAAGAAGTCCTTGTATGGACTTAAGCAGTCTCCGAGGCAGTGGTACAAGAGATTTGATAGTTACATGCTTGAGCTGGGCTATAACAGAAGTCCATATGATTGTTGTGTGTATCACAACAATGTGGAGGATGGTTCGATGATCTATCTTGTTCTGTATGTGGATGATATGCTCATAGCTGCGAGGTCAAAGTCTAATATCCAGAAGTTAAAGGGGCTTCTCAGTGCTGAGTTTGAGATGAAGGATTTGGGAGCTGCTCAGAAGATCTTGGGTATGAAGATTTACAGGGATAGGTCAAAGAAGAAGCTTTTCTTGTCACAGAAGAGCTACATCCAGAAGATACTGTCGAGGTTTGGCATGTCTTCAGCAAATCCCTTAAATACTCCTAGTGCTTCAAATGTTCATCTATCCACAGCTTATGCACCACAGTCAGAGGCTGAGAAAGAGTACATGTCGAGAGTCACATATGCTAGTGCAGTAGGTAGCTTGATGTACGCTATGGTATGCACTAGACCTGATCTTGCACATGCTGTTAGTGTTGTCAGCAGGTTTATGATACAACCTGGGAAGGAGCATTGGCAGGCTGTGAAGAGGATCTTCCGGTATCTTAAGGGTACACTTGATGTGGGGATTAGCTTCGGAAGTGATACAGAGTGCTTGGTGTCTAGGTATTCTGACTAAGACTATGCTGGAGATGTTGACACGAGGAGATCGATGACAGGTTATGTATTCACTCTTGGGAGTTCTGTAGTGAGCTGGAAGGAAACTTTGCAGTCGACGGTGACATTGTCTACTACTGAGGCAGAGTATATGGCGTTGACAGAAGCTACTAAGGAGGGAATATGGTTGAAGGGACTGGTTGGTGATCTGGGTCTACATCATGATTAGGCAGTGGTGTATTGCGATAGTTTGAGTGCAATATGCTTGGCCAAGGATCAAGTCCACCATGAGAGGACTAAGCACATCAACGTGAGGTATCATTTCTTGAGGACAGAGAAGAGGATTAAGGTGAAGAAGGTTGGCACCGCGGATAATCCTGCTGATATGTTCACGAAGCCGGTTCCACATGGCAAGTTCCAACACTGCTTGGACTTGCTGAATGTCTTGAGTGGGTGACTCTGCCCTGCGGGGTATTGATGGCGGGAGAGAGAGAGAAGGAGCAGAGTACATCAGAGATTTCAGAGGAAGAGGATTCAAGTCAATGTGGAGATGTGTTGATGTGACTTGAATCGGACTATCAGCCGCTACGACTGGTAATCGGCGGTCTCGCTATATGTATGTATGTATGTATGTATGTATGTATGTATGTATGTATGTATGGGCTCACGGTGTATGGGCTCAATGTTATTTGGGTTCGGGTTCTGGGCCTGGTCTGTAACCGTTTCCTTTGCCATATTGGATTAGGTTTAGACCCACATGGAAAAGTACTATAAATACTTCTCATACTCCTCTGTAATTTGTAATCTCCTCGATATAGTGAAACTGGCTCTCTCTCGCCCGTGGACGTAGCTAACACACATCGTGTTAGTGAACCACGTAAATCGTGTGTCTGTGTTTTTTTTTATTCTCGCTTTCGTATTCTTGCTTTATCGATTCCGGCGATTTCCCGATCCATAGCAGCGTGTTTATAACAGTAGCAATATTCAAAGTGAATATTTGGTAAGTTCTCAAATACAGCTGACTACCAAAAATTGTCCAGGTAAATCCAGGTTCATAGAGGTTTTTTCATGTCCAGTTCCATGGCCATTCTGACGAATTTGGCTTGCTAGGGTTTTTTAGTGTGATGCACGGAAGGTGTGATTCCATTGAAAAGGGATGAGGTAATGGTCTAAAGAGGGTTGTTTAGAAAACCATTTCAGAGGAGGCCTTCTCCACTCTTTTTTTTTTTCTGCCTTTCAATTTTTATGAGGGGCCATATAAATTTGTTTCTTATTCGGTACTTTATATGCTTGCCGCGGATAAAGACGAAAACCGAAGAAAATGTTATTAGATGGGCGATTCGTGGAAGGAACGTGTTGAATGGTGAAAGAAACAAATTTTCAATATTAACAATCATCCATTAAAAGTTACTTGTTAATGAACTACTATGAATACCTCTCTAAAGATTACTTGTTAATGTAGAGAAGAATCACTTTTTGACAAGGTTAGATCTCTAAATTTGTACGAAAATCTATCAAATGCATTTAGTCTCATGATTATTGAATTTAATGTTTAAACCTGTAAAACCTAAAATTCATGGAACCCTACAGACCATCTATATATACAAGAGAAGGTTTCCCTCTATGACCTTCATTTGGGAGAGTCATCCTGTATCTAACATCATTCTTGGTTGTATTAATCCAAAAACTATAAAAGATAATAAACTAGAGTTAAGATTGTCTTATGGGTATTGATAAAGACGAGCTTAAAAGAAAAGGGGAAAAATGACCACTTTGTTTCACTATAATTTTTTTGGATTTATCTTTCGACAATTTGACTGGTTCAATACATATACTCTTTACTTATTCCTTTGTTGATGACAATGCTAAACCAAATCAAGTTTAGGTAATAGGACACCTAAACTGGAATTCAAGCCCTTTTGAACTCTTAATTTTGCTTATCTGTAACCATCAGTCAGTGGACTTAATCATGCCAGACATCATCGAGTTTGAACAACCACCTTCTGCATTCTGACATTAAAAAGTCAAAACATACCTCAATCATTCTCTTAACATATCAGTTAAGTGATTGATTAGTATTTAATATAACACTAATCCATCAATTAAGATGAGATGAGCACAAGTTAGACTAGTTCATACTGCCACTTAGCAACTGAGAAATGTATAATTAAGGAGCGAAAGCGTAAGACAATTATCCAACCCCTGTAAATGTCAACTAAACAATCACAATATAGAAATCCAAGGCATTGACAAACATGCAGATTAGAATTGTAAAACGATCCCATCACATAAGCCAGAAGCTGCAACGAAATTACCTTCCTTCCTTACTTGCTCTCCACCCAAAGAAATCCGTCTGCAACTCTCAAATTTGTTCACGTTATATATCTCTTCTCCTCGTTTACATCTCATCTTATCTTCACTTCCGACCAACCTCTAAAAAGCATACACCACCATCGCCGGAACGATGCAGGAAACCCATTTCCGCTCTACCCTGTTCCTCATAACAGCAGCTGCTCTCATCTTTTCCGTTACCAATTTTTCTCAAGTGGCTTCCCTGAGTTTCAACTACCCATCTTTTCCCGACAGCACGACCCCCGATTTCATCAGGAACAAATCCTACGTGGCCGGCGACGCGATCCAAGTCACCCCTGACTACAGAGGCGACACAATTGCAAACCAGGCCGGCCGAATCGTCCACCGCCGGTCCTTCCGACTCCACAGAGACGGCCGCCTCGTCAAAGCGTCTTTCAACACCACATTCGTTCTCAGGATTAAACCGATGACCCAGCCAGCAGGGGAAGGCCTGGCATTCGTATTGACCGCCGATCCGTCCCTGCCGGCGAACAGCTCAGGGCAGTGGCTTGGAATCGTCAACTCCACCACCAACGGCACGGCGCAGATTGTGGCGGTGGAGTTTGACACCAGGAAGAGTTACCCTGAAGATTTGGATGATAATCATGCGGGCCTGAATTTGCAGAGTGTTTACTCTGTTGAGCAGGTATCCCTGTCAGGAATCGGCGTCAATCTGTCTTCAGAAACTGATGTGACTGTACGGATTGAGTACGATGGCACCAATTTAACGGTGTTCTTGGGAATAATTCGGATCATCTCGCGGTCGATCGATCTTTCTGTTTATCTCCCCGAGCAAGTTTATGTGGGGTTTTCAGGTTCCACTAGTCAGCTCACGCAGTTAAACTGCATCAGGTCGTGGGAATTCATCAGTTCTAAAATTGGGGATGGCGATTCTAACATGCTCTGGGTTTGGATTGTTTCCCCGATTCTTGCTATGGTTTTCACTCTCTGCTCCACTACTGGGTTTCTTCTATGGAGAAGGAGGCGGATGCAGTTGTGGGACGACCCTAACCCAACAATCGAAGAGGCAATTCAGGGCTCCTCCACAGCTCCAAGGAAGTTCAAGCTGAAGGAACTGAAAAATGCGACAGGGAATTTCAATCCGAAAAACAAGCTCGGAAAAGGCGGATTCGGTACTGTGTATAAAGGAATCCTGGAGGGAAAAGAAGTCGCAGTGAAGAAAGTCTCCAAGAAATCCACCCAAGGGAAACAAGAGTTCATTTCCGAGGTCACCACAATTGGGAATCTCCGCCATAGGAATTTGGTGAAGCTGATTGGATGGGCTTACGAGAGGCGAGAGTACCTTTTGGTCTATGAGTACATGCCGAATGGAAGTCTCGACAGGTTCATTTTTCGTGACGACAAGTGGGTTAGCTCGAACGGACCGTCCTCAGGTCTAACTTGGGCGACTCGAATAAGCATAATCGTGGGAGCCGCCCATGCATTGGATTATCTTCACAATGGATGTGAAAAGAGGATTCTGCATCGCGACATTAAGGCTAGCAACATAATGCTGAATTTGGATTACGATGCCAAATTGGGTGATTTCGGTCTTGCTCGAACCATCCGCCAGTCCGACCAGACCCACCACTCCACTAAAGAAGTGGCAGGCACGCCTGGTTACATGGCTCCGGAGATTTTTCTGACCGGACGTGCGACAGTTGAGACTGATGTTTATGGTTTTGGTGTCCTGATGCTAGAAGTCGCTTGTGGTAGGAGACCTGGAGGAGGTGTGATGTGTCCAGATGATGACGACTACAGTAGCAACATTGTGAAGAAGGTTTGGGAGTTTTATCGGATGGGTGATTTGTTGAATGCAGCGGATTCCAGGATGAATGGGGACTTCCACGAGGAGGAAATGGCCAGAGTGTTGATCTTGGGATTGACCTGTTGCCACCCAAATCCAAACAAGAGGCCTTCCATGAAACTTGTTCTTAAGGTTCTTACCGGAGAAAGTGAAGCTCCTGAGCTACCCCTAGAAAGGCCTGCTTTTGTGTGGCCTCCCCTACCTCCGTCATTCAAGGATAAAGATTACTCCCTCGTCGGAAGCCAACTTACGGCGTTTACTGAACTCTCTGGTAGATAAGAATAAGACTAGCATAGGGCCCGACCGATTGGCCAGTGGAGTTATATTTTGATTTTCTAACTTACTATTATGTTTGGTTTATTTCGAATACTTGAATGACATCGTAGAAACTACCCTATTGTATGTAGTAATAGTTGTCTTGTGTTAAAATGACAGACATGTACATTTCATAGTTTTCATATCGTATTCATTAATATATGAGCCTTAAGTAAACATTGTTGGTTTTACTTTATACCAAATGATACTTTTCTAATTTATTAATTTTAAAATTAATGTAATTGAAATAAATTAAATTTTATAAATGAATTTGAAAATAGTATAGATAATATCGTACTTTCAAAATAATTTTTCGTAAGAGCTCCTAATAAGACTTATGTGTTATATAAAAAACTGTTCATCTTTTTTCAAAAAAAATGTTTTTTCGAGCTAATTGGCCCAACTTAACCTTTCAAAGCAGAAAATACTTCAAAAATTTAGGTCAAATATAGACTTAAACTAAGAATACAATTTATTGCACTATGAGGTTCATTGATATGGTAAAGTTATAAATAAATCAATTATAATTCAAAAATAAATAGTGGACACTACCATACAAAATAATTTATCCTCCATCAAAATTCATAAATCACTAATAATATGTGCTTCTTTGGAAAAATATGAAAATTTGTTTTTTTTATCATGAACAAACACTATTTCACGTTGTTTGCAAATATGATTATAGATATTGTGTATATGAATTTTTATACCATCCTAATTTTATTTCTCAATTGAGATAATGTAACTAATATATTCTTTATATACACATATTATAAATACACACATTCTAAAAAAATTATTTAAATCCAAGACACCCAGCAACGGTTATACAAAATAAATAATAAATGATGATCGATTGTAAATTTCCAGCCCAACAAAATAATAAACAACTAATAAATAAATAAACCAAAACAAGTGGTTGGAGCAATTTTCACCCCAACGGAAAAAATGGAATTGGGTACTGTTAATAAATAAACAGATTAAAAAAAAGGTTGTGAAAATACCAACCGGCCCTTCCGAACTGTGCGGTACGAAGAGATTGGGCTGATGTGGCAACTTTTTCATGTTGACATTGCCTTATATTCTTCTGTAGATATGTCTAAATATTCAAGACATAGTCAAGTATTTGGTAAAACTATGATGCTTTAATTAGATTAAGTTTTGTAAATATCATAGATTTGTCATTTTTTTTATCGTTCGTTCGCTGTTGAATTAATATAGGACTTATTACATACATACCATATAATTTTATTTAAGGAGTTCGATTCCATGTGAACATATATGTGGTATCATTCTGTAGACCACTATGTGGATCCTCGCATCCGTTCACTCGAATAATTATTCTCCTTTTTTGCATAATCTTTTTTCTTCTCTATATATTGGTGGTTAGAAAGTATTTCTCCCCTTGACATCCAATCTAACAGGGGATTAGCAAAGTTCTAGTATTTTCGCATGTTTAATCTAGTATTTTGGATCTTATATATTCATTCTCCATCGAGATAATTCTTCCTTTATTCCCTTGTGCTACTCATCGTGACGGATATCCCTTGGGACATTAGAGGAGGAAGGAAAAAATAGTTCAATGGTTTAACTTAATGTTATTAATTAGCATACTTATTTTAGGATGATTTGAATTGGGATTTGGTTACGAGTGATTTGTGAAGGATTTGAGCTAAAACCCTCACTAAAAAATCGAGATTTTATTTGAGAAATATGGACGAAATGTGATGGGGTTAATTGCATGGTTGGTCACTGAGATTACAAAAAACGTTTATGTTTGGTCACTGCAAATATTTAAATCCAATTTTGGCCACTCAAATTATTAAAATGGTTCAAGTTTGGTCACTCTTCGTCAATTATAGTTAACTCTAGCTTATGTGGCAGACAACTTTCATAGTTGACCGTTAAATATGTAACGCGGCGATTAAAAAATTATTAAAAAAAATAAACATTTATATTTTTCAACTCATTATTATTACGTTCATTAAAAAATAAAAAAAATAAAAAACCTAATTCATTTTCTACCCACCCCTATACCCTACGTCCCTACCCGACCCAATCTCCGTTCTATCCTCATCTTGTTCCTTGATATTTTTTATGATGCCCAGAGAATCGGATTCCACAACGATCGACCATATCCCTCTCTTCTTCGCTTCTTCAATACCCACCATCATAGCTCTGGACTCAGCCTTATCAAGGCTACACTTCCCTTTTTCTCTTCTCGTGAAACCCATGATAAAAGCTCCATTCTCATCTTTGATTACCCCACCCATACAGAAACCCTCGTCACTAATCAACCCAGCATCTTTATTAAACTTGTAGAGGCCTCGATTTGGTTTCTTCCAACCCTTCTCGAATCTGATTGGGGCAAGCAGAACTAGCGACAACCATTTGATCATCGCTTTATTGGCAGAGGGCGAATTCGCGGCGCAGAGAATCGACACCGTTTCCGTAGCCACGGCCAATTGGACAGAGGCGGAAGCGGAGCAGAAGATTCTTCAATCATCGATTGGATCGATTCGATGGATAACCATTCAGTGATATATGTCTGCTTCGAATCTACGTTTAATCCGAAGTCGGATCTGTTGATCGAGCTATGCTTAGGTTTGGAAGCGTCGACCCAGCCTTTCATCTGGGTAATTAGGGGAAATTCGAAGGAAACTCCGGCGAGCTTCAGATATGGATTGCGGGAAGCAGATTCGAAAAGAGGATTGCAGGGAGGGGATTGTTGGTTCGTGGGTGTGCTCCCCAGGTGGCGATTCTATCTCGTCGGTTCCGGGATGAGGATCGCTAGCTGCGGCCATGGGAGAGAGGATTGCTAGCTGCGGCACGGGTGGTGGTGAGGTTGGGTCGGGTAGGGTATAGGAGTGTGAAGAAAAGAAATTAGTTTTTTATTTATTAATTTGAGTGTTCAAAATTAGATTTAAATATTTCTAGTAATTAAACATATAAACGTTCTTTGTAATCTCAGTGACCAATAATGTAATTGACCCAAATATGATGTTTGGAAGTTGATCAATGTATTTAACAATCCCCCCCAATTGGTTTGGATTTCGTCTTCCTCATCTTCCTTCTTCCTCCGCTTGGCTCCTAGCCCTTTCATCTTTATCGGTGGGTTGGAAAATCTCTAAGGAAGAAGATTGTCAGAATGATTGGAGGAAGAAGGTTTGTCGGAACGGGGGAAGAAGAAGAAGAAGTATGAAAGGACGGGGTAGGATTTGGGAAAAAAATGACATATTTTGAAATAGTTAGGGGCATAAGCTGTTGGACGAATATGAGAAAAGGAAAATCAGAGTTGCAAAAATTTGATAAAGATCATTAGAATCCCTGGCCTTAATCAAAGGTCACAAGATGAGAAAATTTTCAAATAAGGAAAGACAGGAAGGAAGGCTTGAAGAATAGCAGCAACGACATTGTTCTCTGGGGCTATATATATATATAGACCATTATATATATATATATGATTCTTCTTATCTGTTACAGGCATCTTTGGTAAAAGCGGTATAGGGCTTAGGAATAGGTTCTATCACATTGACGGCTGTAACGGGTCTGGGATTTGGGATCCGAGTTTTTATACTTCTCTATTTGCAGCATCATTTCAATTTCTTTAGTCTGTAGGTTTTCTTTGTGTCTTTGTTATATTGCTTGATAGAAAAAAAAAAGAAATAAAAAGAGTCTCCTAGAAATCAGTGGGTACTGATTCTAGGATGAAGACTGACCAGTAGTTTGGGAACCTCGTTAAAATTCTTTGTCTTCTTGCATTTCTGCATTTTGGTTCTGCATACTCTGTTTTTGTGTTCGTACTCTGTTCTTCATCCGAAGTTGATCATTTACCTGTCTAGATCGAAAAACTAGAAAAGGGAAACTTATTTGGTGAATAAACTAAATGCATGCGTTTAGACAATTGATCACTTTCAAACTCGTTTTTCCTTGGGCTCACTCAAAAACGAGTTTCATAACATCTTGTGGGCTTATTATTTATTTTGGCCCATCAACTTCATTCTAGAGAACTAAACATATATCAAAGTTTGCTTGGGTGACCTTTCAGATCAAGAGCTGCTCTCGTCCATCGTCCCCAAAGTGTTCTTTTGAAACCAACCCAGAAATTGCAGATTGCTAAAGCTACCGCTGCGAGAGACTGGAATAGAAGAAGTGAAGGCCCCTGCCAACACGTTCTACATAAGCCCTTTCAAAACATGAATATGATGGATTTCAAATTCTCTTTCGATCAAAATTTCTTGCCTTACTAACCGAAAGATTTTGCCAAAATCCTTGAAAATGAGGATTTTGAGAAATCCTGCCCCAAAATTCCTAATACAAATGACTTCATTAAGTAATTAAAATAGTCCTTCAGGAAGTTACTACTAACTTAGGTAACTAGTTCGTGGAGCTAGAGCGAAAGAGGGAGTGTAAGAGCGTCTATTTTACAATAATTCAATATTGAAAGCGTGAAGAGAGCATCATGATATATTATTTTTAATTATTTTAATATATGTAATATGTTTTTTAAAAATTTCTAACATATAATTAATACCAAATTGATTTTTCATAACCAATTGATTTCATTTATGTAAAAAATTACGATACAAATAAGATGATATTTTTAGTTTTAATTTCACTATTATATCAATAAATATATAAAGTTTTTTTTTGTAAATATTAATTATCTTAGGTTTTTCATTAACTTTTTGGTTTCCATTTAATTTTTTGGACATTCACCGGTGACCCAACGGCCAACGCTAACCACACAACTTCTCTCTCTCTCTCTCTCTCTCGGCAATTCACTGCTCTGTTCTTCTCCTTCATTATTCTGGAGATCAGTTTCTCCATGCAACAAGCGAGTGAATCATTTTCGATCTCGTAGATCAACTTCTAACGGAAAACCAAAACTTCGACAATAGTAGTTCGTAGCCGGAAGGAGAATGGTCTGCGTCGACGACTACCGATTCGACTAGAAGAAGAAGAAAGGATTCCATCGACGAGCGTCGATTCAGCACGGTAAGGTAATAGAGTGGCCAGCTGGCTAGGATGTGAAGTGTTTGCCGGAGGAAAAGAAAGGATTGCAATAACAATTGTCATTCAGCGGCGGAAGGCAATTGAATGGCCAGCAGGACAAGCGAATTTATCTCTTTGTGCTTGTAGAACTCACTTCATCAAGAGATTCGCGAACTTCCAAATATAATTCGTGCTCCAGTCACTGATAATTCGCGAATTGTAGACACTCTATTGGAAAAACGCGTTTCATGCTCTAATTCGGGTGCGGTCATGGTCGACCCACGAATTGGATGACCTAACTACTAACTGAGTCGTAATCAAATGTTGTGATTCCCATACCGTAAACAATTATTAAATGTGGTAACTTTTTTACAAAACTTTAAAAACTCTTCTGTAATCCAATACCGTAAACAACTCGTACTACTTTGCACAACACCTTACTGCTCACGTCTTTCTCTTTCATTTTTTTATAGTAGCTTGTGAACCGCCTCAAAAGTTTCACTGTTCTTTTCTCTCTTATATAGTTTCATTGATTCACTTAATTGTAGTTGAATTCCATAAATTCCAGCTTTATTATATCATTCATATTCTTTTAGGGGAGGTGCCGACAACAAGCTGTTAAGCACCAGAAAAAAATTACAAGCATCTCATGCCAATAAGCCCCGGAGCTGAGACATAAGCAGCCAAAGTCTTCAAGACAGAGCAGAGATCCCTATAGCTAGATAGGAAATAAAAACAAGGGGACCCGTTAACCGCCAGAAGATTCAATCACTTGCCTTGGGAATCTGATTCCCATAATGTCTTCCCGCATCATATTTTCAACATCATGAGGGGAATTCAAAGTTTCAAACGAACTGAAAAAGGGTAGACGAGACTGTACTTCGAGAGACAGTTCGCGATTCTATTCCTCTCGCGATATATGTATGAATCATTTGAATAACCCACTTCCTAGTTAAATATCTTTGAATCACCCGTAACAACGTAGCAAGTGGGTGGGTCGCATCATTGCTCTTGTTGTGGAGATCCAGAGCCTATTAATTGGAGTGATTATATAAACCAATAAGTGTTAGCGTTAGATTGAGATAAACCATATTCAATAACTTCGTGGAGATATAAAATAACTATCCTCTTCCCAAGATAGACAAAATAGTAATGCACATTAAATTGCAAAGTGTACATAATGAGATTGATAAACATACGTGCTAACATTCAAGGTTTGAAAATCAAATCAGATAATTTTATTTTCTTGATTGGATAATTCATTGCGGAGAATATTTATCCAATGTATATATCCACCAATGCTAGTCGGCCGAATTACGTTTTATGTTTAAAAACAACTTATCCTTGTGTCATGCTATCCTCAAAAGGAAGATAAATGTTTTTCCTAACATCTTACTGTTTATATTTGTAGTCTCTTGAGTATATTCTCTATCCAGTACTATGAGAAGTTGATAGATTATAGACTCATTTATCACTCATAATTGAAAATATCCAACAATCACTTATATATATTTGTAAGTTAATTATTTTATTGAATGTGTGTTACATTATATCTATTTAGGATTAACTCTCAACCAATATTTACTGGCCATTAACTTAGTATATCATGAGATTTTTTTTGAAAATGTTTGATTTGTGGATAAATTATATTACCACTATTAATATGACGTATCAATCCAATAGGGAAAAAAGTGTCTATAATAATAAAAATGAATTAAGTGTCCTCCTTTAAAACATAAACCAAATCTCTAGATGGTTGCGGAAAATTTTTCAGCTATTTTTTAGTTTAAGGGTTTTGTAGAAGGTAATGGGAAGGTGGCTTGAGAACATTGAAGATGAATATGCAACGCAAGATTGACACAGCTACTAGGTTATTTGGAATGACTCGGTCACCTTTTCATTGGCTTAGTGGCCTTTATATATCAACGGCTGAGTTAACTAAAACGCAAACCATCCAATCGCAGGTCGACAGGTGGTTAAATACACTGTTTAAGCTAACTGTATCAGAAAAATTAAAATGATGCCGAAATTCTAAAGCTCTACAATATGTAATTCTCAATCATCTAACAAACTAGACTTGCATATAATTAAGTCCTTTGCTTCAGGAACGTGAAACTTGAGCTGCACTTGTCTTTCATGGATGCATCGATTCAACAAATAGGTTATCTCTCACACACCCACTCCAAGCGGAAAACTTTTACGTCCAACCTTGGTTGATCTTCCTCCTCCAACCAGCCACATGGCGTAGTACTATTGGTGAACTCTCCTTCTATTTTTTATTTATTTTAATCTTCTTTATCCTTTTTATCTTTCAACTAACCAAAACAGAAAAAAGCGAATTGACGGGTCTAGATTTCACGAAATGGAATTCTTATTAATTTTGACATACTCCTATATTTTATGGAGCAATCAAAATTTAGTTGTGTTCTCTTTTCATTTAAACTCCATACGTTTCTATAATAATGTTGTTAATTCTTGAAAGTTAATTCGCTACACATTGTAAAATGATCTCTATTTAATATATACAACAATTTTATATTATTGAAGCATAAGATATTCTAGTATATGTATGAAATAGTGAGATATCTAGGCTAAATTACACATTTGGTCACTCGAATTATATAAATCTTTCACGTTTGCCACCCAAATTACTTTTCTTTCATATTAATCACTAACTTTACGTTGCATTTCACCGTTGGTCACCCTCCGTCAGTCTCCGTCAGACTCCATTAACGCCGTCAGATTTTTGATGACGTGGCAAACAAAAGTGCTGACTGGGCTGACAGAGAGGCTCAAAAAGACGGCTTTGACTGCCTAGTCAGCCACATACCCGACCCA